TAAACTTATTAAAGATCAGGACAAATCTAGGAAAAGACTACATCCAGAATTTTCCATTCTTGCTGTCTTACTGAATGCCTAATTTTTTATGAAAAGAGAGCAATTTCTTCAGTTTGTTAGATATTATTAACAGGAGAAAATTAACATCTTTCATGTCTTTGCTATTCAGTGCTCTTCCACACTTAATTGATTTCATGCTGCCAAATAAATAGCACAGCAACAAAACAGTTATGAAAATAAGGCAGAATATTAGAAATCTAGCAATGACAGTTCCAACAGTCCCCGGTTACTGTTCTTAAGTGAATCACATGAGAAGACCTTTGTATGATCAGGACTTCTGACTTCTTACCAATTTCCCCATTGAAATTGATTGTGAGAAGCAGGCAGGGAAGGTCACAAATCGTAATCACATGACCATGGGACACCGTGATAGTTGGAAATAGGATCATGTGATCCCAGGGGCACTGTGACTAATGGAACTTTGAGGACTGGTCATAAATGTCACTCGTTTCGCATCACCATAAGTTTGAATGGTTACTGAATGAGTTGTTAACTAAAAGTTACATGTATAGTCATAAAGATGGAACAATGAGATTAAATTCTCATTGTTCCATCTTTATGACTATACATGTAGTGCAAAAAAATTTATTTACCTCAAATATTAAGCTTAGAATTAGTATAAAATATTTACTGCTGGCGCATTATTCCAATCAGGGTTGCTGAAATAAGCAAGTCCTTTCTGTGAAATATTGGAAATGCAAAAGCAAATTGGTTCCTTGTTCCAATTTGTTACAAAGCCCAATAATACTAGAAATTAATTCATTGTAGAATGGAACACATTTTGAAAAATGTAATCCCAATTCATCCTGAGATATTTTTATTAAACTTACTAAACCACACATTTCTTCCATTTTTTAAAAAACTGGTATTGTATATGTTCGTACTCATACATATTTTATATGTTCTTTATAAAGTTGTAAAGTTGCTGTCCCCACACATATTTAGAGTTCCAGTTTGGAGCAGACTGTACTGACAACTGGAACAACTAAATTTCCACTTGGCTTTGAGTGTTAGATGTTAAAGGACAATGATGGGGAAAGACAGCTAACTATATGGCCTTTCTAAAGACTTCTGTTAAAAACTGGATTGGAAATGAGGTAAGTCCTTGTAGCTAGCATTTTAGAAGGGATCTTTTATACAGGTAAGCCCTAATTTATGGCCAGACATTTAACAACCATTAGATTATTGTGATGGCTGGAACCATAGTTTGGGCTCAGAAAGGATGTTCTACAATCTGGAAATTACTTTCAACCACCATTAAAAGTCCTCCCACTTGCGGTCACATGATTATGATCTGGGTGCTTGGCAACCTATTTACACTTACAGCAAGTTACCAAGTGTCCTGCTCCATTCCCCTAATGACCTGTGTGGTTGTTTAACAACCACAACTAGGAGAGCTGAGATTGCAGTCATTGAATGAAGTAGTCATTATGGGCATCTCATTAATGACCGCTCCATTCAACAACTGAGATTCCAGTTCCAGTTGTTGTCGTAAATCAAGGACTACTACCTCGGTTCCAAGTTGATTGGGTCATTGTCTTCTGTGCTGCTGACAGATTTGTGTAGGATGGGACTTTCTGTAGAGTTCTGCAGTTTCCGTCCCACGGCTTGAATATCGAACTCTTCAGAGGAAAAAAAGACAAGAAAAGCCAGGCTAGCATCTAATTGCAAGGAAGAGAACTAAATAATATCTATTAAATCCTCCTCCGCGAAGCACTACTGACTTAGTCAAGCTTTATTTAAAATGCTTGCGTGAGGCTAAAAATAAGCAATTGGAACTTTTCAACGTGGGGACTCTTAACAAGGCTTTGTAAGAGAATTGCATCTCCATATCATTAACTGTAGTCCAGTTTAATTGAACACCCCCCCCCCAGGAAAAAGCTGCTTTCATTTTTTAAAAAATGAAATATTAAATCTCAGAACCAGGCACAAAACTAGCATGCTAACAAAAAAGCTTTTGCATTTTCATTTTTTTTAAAATTAGATTTATATGCCGCCCTTCTCCGAAGACTCAGGGCGGCTTACAATGTGCTCAGCAATAGCCTTCATCCTTTTGTATATTTATACAAAGTCAGCTTATTGCCCCCACAAACTGGGTCCTCATTTCACCTACCTTAGAAAGGATGGAAGGCTGAGTCAACCTTGAGCCTTGGCGAGATTCGAACCCTGCAGTAATTGCAGGCAGCTGGTCTTAATAACCAGCTTAATAACAGGGTGCCTTAAACCCCTGTACTACCAAGGCTCTTTGGCACTTGGAGCCCAGTATTTATTTGTTATTTATTGATTTTGTCGCATTTCTATGCCGCCCAACTCCCAAGAGAACATAATGATCTTAAATGGACTCCAGAGGATGGTAGAGGACAGGAAAACCTGGAGGAACGTTGTCCATAGGGTCATGATGGGTCGGACACAACTTCGCAACTAACAACAACAACAAAAAGAGAACATAAAAAGTAGAATTAATTACTCTGATCGCTTGGTTCCCAGAGGTTTACCACATGGAAGCTTTGAGATTTCAGCTACGCATGGTCAAGAGTTTTACTCTACAAGCTTCCAGGGAAGGGCAGTTTTTTTAAAATTTTTGGGCATTCTTATGTATGAAACAATGCATTATACTTTAATTAAGTACAATCTTGAATACTGAGCCCATAACCTTTCTGCTTAGGGTTATGGAAAAAAAATATTTACCACAAAAGAGGGGGGGAGGCTCTTTATCTGCTGCTATGTTGCTTGTAACTACTGCTGAAATTACGTCTTGAATTTAGATTGTGTGTGTGTTATAATCCTGTCTTCTGCTGTAACTGTGCCAAGTGATCAGCAAGAGTACAGAAGTTCAGGTTTCCTTTCATTTGCAGCGACCTCAGTGTTCATTGTTGAGCTGTGTGTAATCCATACAAGAGATGTGCACTTAGTTGAATATTTGATCTGAGTGAAACAGGCATTCTTGGCAAGTGCTCTCAGGATGCTGCTGCGTTGAGAATAAGGGAACACCTTGTATTTCTTAGAACAATCGTTTTCTACTTTGTCTTGTTTTAGTGTTCTCTTGCAGACTGACTTGTCTTCCCTAGAAGCTCCTGAGGTTTCTTTTATGGGGCTGAGACTAGGTAGCACTTTCCCTGCTTCCTCTCACCTTGTAGTCACCTCATAGAAACGAGCATCCTGAAGGTCGCAGACATCATCTTTGAGGGGGAGGGGGAAATCTTGTAATTGTTCTAATTCAATATTTTCAGCTCAGGCATTTGTCAGACATGTGGCCTTCCACTCCCAAAATATTCTGCCACCGTAGCTGTTGCTGAAAAGTTGGTCCACGGGCCTGGGAAGTTCCCCGTTTGGGAGAAACTATGATTAACAGAAGAATCCCAGCCCCTGTTCTAAATGTCCCAACAACATGGAACCACCAGATTTGATTTGATTACTTGGGGGAAATATTGATGGGCTACACTGGATTAGCAATAACCAGAATTCTCACAACAGGTGCTTGATGGAGTTGCTGACACAAGATGGTGTTATTTGTAGCCTCGTGGGTTTTTTGTTCATTTGTTTGTTTTTGCTAGTGGAGCAAAGAACTGCCTTCCCCACCCATCCCAGATTTCAGAGCCCATGGAGAAGGCTCAGCTCAGGTGGTTCTGTCACACTTTGTCCTGCAGACTGTAGTCTTTATGCCCCCCCCCCCAAAGTGAATTGGAAGCTTTGGAAAGTATAAACTCTTGTTGCTCTCAAGAATGAGGAAATGCAGATATCTCTAACTGATACTATTAAAACAGCCCTTTTAATTTCTATGGCTGGATCAGGGTTCTAAATGGTTTTTTTAAAAAAAACCTACCTCATAGCTTATGTTTTCTATGTCTCTTTAAAATGTCCAACACTCTAATATGACCTTCCCTACCTGTTAATTTTTACTGAAATGGTCCTTGTTAAAAACAAAAATGATAAGAACCAAGCTCTTCCTTCTGACACTCTTCTTGTATATATTTTCACCGCTAGATGCGAAGGCCAAGAATGGCTACAAATACAAGGTGATGGGAAGACTGGCTTTTAATCCCCTCCTAGAATACACATACTGTATGCAAAAGGAATAGACACCTAAGCTGAGTTCAAACGGGTAAAATACCCTTCTGATCCTACCCTCACTTTAGTTATTCTGGGAGTGGTTTAAAGAGGGAACTGAACTTTATTGTATTTTGACTGGTCTGTTTATTCTACTTAAGTGAGGTTTCTGCATTTTGAGTTGCCACAGTCGGGGGGAACATGCTAGCCATATGCCAATTACCTTGGTAATTATCAGCAAAAAAGCAGTTGCTTTTTCTGTGTACCCAATATTTACCCACAGACTTTTGGAATGTTTCTTCTTCTTCTAACGTTTAGGGGGAAAATGGGCAGAATGTTATTTGTTCAAGCATGATTGACTCTCTAGTATCAGACCTTGAGTTATGCTACATATTTTTATTCTGGGGAAAGGGAAAGATTGAAATTTTAATTGCACAGGTTTATCTGTTAGACATGAAGGTTCCTGAGCTGGTACAGGGGCTTGAACGTTTTGGAGTTTATCTAATTTGGGGAAAGAATGACAAGGAATTGTCAAGAGAAGTTTGTTTAGCCACTGTATATTTTAATAGATTTTAATGTAAAACAGACTTTGGGTTGAGCATCCATGGAAACCATTACCAATCTATCTGGTTGTATATTTACCCAAGCATCTCTGGAGAGTTTGATTGTGTTGCAGCAAATCATGCTGTTGTTCTTTACAGTCCTGAGGTCCACTTGCCTAATTGTAACCATGGATCACTAACGAAAAAGAGTAATGCACAAGTTCTCCTCATAATATCTAGGGAAGGTTTGTGCAATATCCTGTACCATAACAGCTGGATAGCTGTTTCATCCTTTACTGATTGTAGGTTTTGGGGAATAATGTCAGGTTTCTCTTATGTTACTCTCTGCAGAAAGACTTCAGAGTTCAGGAGCTCCCATTGGCACGCATTAAGAAGATCATGAAACTAGATGAAGATGTGAAGGTAAAACATAGACTGGCTTGAACGGAAACTTAAGATGCAGCACAGGCTGCTGTGCTGATACTGCCATGAGAGACATTGTGGCAAATGAGGGTGGGCAATGGCAGCTGGGGAGAGGGGGGGAGGGAGATAGGTGGGGTACCAAGTAAAGATTATATTTTGGTTTGAAGAGAGTGAATTTCCATTTTAAAGTTGTTTGCCCACTTTTCCAGTTTGGTTTTCCACTTGTTTTCTGGAAAGGAAGGAGTTGCTTTCTCCTTATTTTCTCTCTCTCTGCATATATGTGCCAAAGGGAAAGTTCTGTGTTTGCAATATAGCAATAGCGTTTAGGCTTACCCTATATACCACTTCACAGTGTTTTACAGTCCCCTCTAAGCGGTTTACAGATTGCTCCCAACAATCTGGGTCCTCATTTTACCCACCTCAGAGGGATGAAAGGCTGAGTCAACCTTGAGCCGGTCGAACTGCTGAACTGCTGGCAGCCGGCAGTCAGCAGAAGTAGCCTGCAGTACTGCATTCTAAATACTGCACCACCACGACTCATATAGCTGAAAAGCAATGTGGCACGCTAGGTGGATATGCTCTTGTTATATGTTATTAAAACTAGAACTATGGGCATTGTTTAAATCATAGCTTTCCTCCACATCTGAGGAATTGCTGGATGGAGCAGCAGTGCCATAATACAAGTGCCAGTACTGGTGAGATCCCCTAAGAAGTCTACAATAAGGACATTTTTTGGTTGGTGCTGTTCCCAGCAACTGACATTCCATAGTAAACAAGTTTCTAATTGTAGATTGCCCTTGATATTCATTTCTGAATATGTGTAAACTTCTTTAAAACCTTCTAGTGTCCAACACACCTTGTAAAAGCCATACTTTACTTGATCTTACGCTTTAACCTGTAACAGCAAACTTAGTCCTCTTTCCCTTCCTTCTCTTGCTCTCTCTCCCTTTCTCTCCTCTTCTCCCTCCCGTTCTTAGTATCAGGATTAGGTTCCTCCAGGCTGACTGCAGTTCTCACAGAATGCGAATAGGGTCACTGAAACTGACACCTTGCAAAGGTGAAAATCCTCATTGGTTTGGAGCAGGGCACTTTTCAAATTGTTCCAGTTGATAAAAACAGATTCACCTGACAGGCACATTTGATAGTGATTTTTTTTTTAAAAAAAAAATCTTGGTCTCTGTGCCCCTCTTAACTTTCTTTGCAGATGACCTCATGGTTCATTGGAACAATTTATCCTCTTTTATGTAGACATTGAATCTGGTTGCACGGACCATTGTTCAGACTTGCAGTAGAAACTGCAGCTTCTCTTCCTCAACAGGCTAAGGCTGCTGTTTGCCCTCTTCTTTTTGAGAATTGGCCAGGCTTTGTATATAGACGTAGCTGACTGGGAAGTAAGCCATGTGTGAAATATTGTCCTATTTCTAAGGAATTACAGATTGAGTCAGGGTTGATTTCAAAGGCTGCACATGTTTAATGTCTACCCTTCAGTGCAAAGCTAGAATTCTTCAAAGAGGTTCCTGAAAACAGGTTTCTTAAAATACCAGATGAAATCATTTTCACTTCCATCTTAAAACCTGAGGGATCAACATTTAGTCCATTATTTCATTAAAAATAAAAGCTTCTGTGACCACTTAAAAATAATGGACAACAGACTTTTTTTTAATGAGAACACATAAAAAATCTTAGATGTTTAGTACAACCTTTGAAGGAACTTTACTCATTAGAGAAAATGCTTCTTCTGAAAAGCATCTGAAAACAAGGTTCACCATGCTTTATACTGCAGAATGGTGGTATTACTTCATAAGTATATTTCACTGATTAAAATTCCAGGATCAAGATGCTTTTATATGACAGCATTATTTGGACTGTACTCGGGATTGTAGCCTGAGAAGAACAGGAAGTTCACTGAGGCCAGCAGTGATCAAAATTAAGAGAGACATTTCCTGTGTGAGTGAGGAAAAAGCTGGCTAGTCTTTGCCAAAGGCTTGGAATATGCCATGCTTGTTCTTATTTGGAAATTGTGGAGAATATTTGTAGCTCGGGTTATAGATTTAGGCAGAGGTTTGTCCTCCGAGCTTGCTGCTTGGCTCCTGGACATTTAGTTACCAAACTAGGTGACAATCACAAGACCAACCAACCCCCCAGGACCTATATAACCGAAGAAGACACTTCAGCCAAAATCCCACTGAAGGTATTATCTAGTTTGTAAGGGCAGAGATTTGTCCGGGAGTCAAGGACAAACCTCTGCCTTCCTTCCTTCCTTCCTTCCTTCCTTCCTTCCTTCCTTCCTTCCTTCCTTCCTTCCTTCCTTCCTTCCTTTTTAGGCATAGCATAATGCTGTATGCTTGTTCTTAAATAGCAAGACATGCACATTTGTCTTCTCTGTCACTTTCTTGGGCTCAAGGTGAGGCCCCAGAGGTGACACCCTTTCATATTTGTATCCCTTGAGGTTCAAAATCTTGAATTCTCTGGCTGGAAAATGGCATGTTTCAATCCTAACACATCTGGAAGGCAACCTTTGACAAGGTGGAAAAACCTGGGGAATTTCAAAGTAAAAATTTCAATTAATCCAAAACACTCGGCAAGTAGCCTCGAAGTAACCTCTAATTCTGTCTATCCGACCTTTTGGGGTTGCTGTGAGGACCACAGGGATAACTTCCATATGCATCATTCCGATCTCCTTGGAAGATAAAGTAGTTTATACTTTATTTTCCAAGATAAGTAAGTTGTAATAGCTTTCACTCATCTCAAAGAAAGCTTTGTTTTTTGGGGGGAGGGATGGCGGTAATGCAGGGTCCTGTAATTGTCTTGTTTTAATACAGTCAGTAGGTTAAATGCTCCTTCATTCCTCTAGATGATCAGTGCAGAAGCTCCTGTTCTGTTCGCCAAGGCTGCTCAGATATTCATCACGGAGTTGACACTACGAGCTTGGATACACACAGAAGACAACAAACGCAGGACTTTGCAGGTAAAGGACTGTTTATCATCCTGACTTTATGCTGTCCCCTTTACTTTTTGCCTGTTCCTGCTTTTGGGGTGGGAGCCTAGATTAGAGCAAGAATAGATTGAAGCAAGATCTTTATTAGTCAGTCTTGGTATGTAAATGCCTGATGATAGCATCTCCCTTGCAAAGCCAGTTGACAGTAAGAAGCATCTAACAGGGGCTTAACTCTTCTTTCAGTTTCTATTTCTAGGTCTCTGCAGACACATGTCCAGCATCCCACAAGGGGAAAGGATGGAGCAGTGGCGACCAGCTATGTCTTTTTTGAGCATTGGCTTCAATATTCATTTAGGGGCATATTTGAAAGAAACATCAAATTGGTCTAGAAGAGGCGTAGGTGTCATTTTTGTACTAGAAGGAGGATTCCTTCCCTCCTTCCTTCCTTCCTTCCTTCCTTCCTTCCTTCCTTCCTTCCTTCCTCCCTCCCTCCCTCCCTCCCTCCCTCCCTCCCTCCCTCCCCCCCTTGTTTTTACTAGAAAACCTGTCCATCCTCCTGCCTTCTGATTTTTATACACTTTAAATTTTGCTGCATTATACGCTGATTCACTTGCTCACTTCCTGAATATCTCTCTTCCCACTTTTTCTCCTCACCCCTTGTGCTTCCCAAACATGTTCACCACTTAGCCTGTGCCTCTTTTTTGTCTTATCTAACTGATAGCAGAGCACTGAAGGCACCTGGTTACTACTTACTCCTCTGCCCCAAAAACTTCTAGCACTTTGCAAGTCAGCAAACAATTACAGGAGAAGAGGAAAAAGCCCACATTCCAATATGTCACCATTCCAGCAGTCCTGGTGGACTATTTTAGCTCAGCAAATCTTGCAAGCCAGCAAGTTGACAATCCTCTCCTTTTTTTTCTTTTAACCAGCATACTCAAATTTGCTTCTCTTGAGCTAGATTGTGAAACATGTTGCAGAATGGGTGGTGTTCAATGCAGTGGTTTTCAACCTTGGCAACTTTAAGCTGTGTGAACTTCAACTCCCAGAATTCCCCAGCATGCTGGTTGGGAAATTCTAGGAGTTGAAGTTCACACATCTTAAAAGTTTAAAGAATACTGGTCTGTTTCATGCCACAAATTTAGGAAGACCTTGCTTTCCCCTACCTTTGAAGTGGGTAAGATTGATATTGTATCATAACCATGGGCATCGGCAGCGGGTATTTCAAATGTCTCTTGTTTCCATATTTTGCCTTTCCCAAGAGGTGTTTGTAACTATAAGTGTTGGTATTTTGGAATAGAACAAGGGTGGGCTATCTTAGCCCCCCTTTTGTGACACAATAACCTGTTTGTTGAAGACTAACAGCACAGTTTATCATGCTTGAAAACTGCATAGAAATTGTATTAACAGGCTTGAAGATTAATTAATTACAGTTAAGAGCAAAGAATTCCAGTGCTTGAAGTAGTCCATGCTGTCTTGCAAAATATTAGCTGGCCACCCTAACATCGCCTATTCCTTGTATAAAGGGAAAAATGAAAACTGAGATCCTCGAGCTCTGTGTTTCATACAGGGGAAAACGAAGCATTCAGAACTTTAATTAAAAGTAGATGAGAAATAACTTTAATGGCCATTTTTCTTAGTGGGCATTTTACAGCATTCATTCATTTTGGAATTATTAGCGGTGTTATTGCTAAGCCCTTAACTGCTTAATAAATGTCATGCAGATTATAAAAGATAACACAGTCTCTGCTGTAGTCTCACAATCTACCAGCCACAACACAGAGGCAGCAGGAAGAAGACGGCAGGATTGGAGCAGAAATGCCTTCTCTGGCCATTGCGTGGAGTCAGCTTGTTTAATTTTGAAATAGTTGTTCTTTCTGACTAGAAAGGATAAAGCCAACTCTCTGCAGTTATTTCCTGCTCTGGCTAGTGGATGAAGGCAGGTTGTCCCAAAGGTGCTTTTTCAAAAGGCAACTGGACTTTTCCAGAAAACCCAGTTGCCTCTTGAAAAAGCACCTTTGGGACAACCGTGGCCTGGATGACCGAGAATCTCCATGGACATGAGGGCAGGTTGATCTCCCCTTTGCCATGGGAGAGCCTAGAACACCTCCAGTTCTAGATCAAGCATAGTGGTCCAGCATGCTGTGGAAAAGAGACGGGGGTTTTAAATTACCCAGGGTCACTTTGAGGTAAGGTAGGCGGCCTATAAGTTTTACAAACAAACAAATAACATCTACGTGACACAAGTAGTCCTCGACTTACAGTAATGGACCCTGCCCATTACAGTTGTACGTTATGATGGTCATAAAACATCCACATGATCCACATGATCCACCTGGTTTTTTGTTTTTTGTTTACCTTTTTTGCAATAGTTAAGAGAATATTACAGTTGTTAAGCAAACCGATTTTTCTCTATGGCTGATTTTGCCAAAAACTGCAAGTAAATGTCAGTTTTCAGCACGAACATCATAAAAAGCAGTCATGGGACAGTGGGGCCCTTTAAACAGCTGTAAATGCAAGTCAGTTTCCCAAAATGCGGTCACATGAGCATGGGGGAGCAGCCTTCACAACTTCAGAACTCTGCTTGAAATACCTTTCGGGAGGTCTGTCGTGACTTCAGTGGTTAAGCAACCGGTCGCAAGTTGAGGACTACTTGTACTGAATGCAATTGAAAATGTTTCATATCTTTGGGATTAAGTAACTTTGCATAATGCAAAGTGTTTGCATTTATTGATCTTGCAGAGCAATACATGAAAAACATCAGAGAGCTGGAAAATTTTCCTGTCAAATGTTTTAGTGTATCTTTAGGTTGTTAAGATTTTATGTCACCATCTTCATCACCTATTGTTCTCTCTACCTTTCCTGCTAAGCTGATTAAGGCCAGTGTCAACAGTGTTCGTTCAGCTAGAGTTACAGAAACCAGATGTTACTTGTGCTTTCTTTTTTGTTACAGAGAAATGATATTGCTATGGCCATCACGAAGTTTGATCAGTTCGACTTTCTCATTGACATCGTTCCAAGGGATGAACTTAAACCTCCAAAGCGACAGGTGAGGGCAAAAGAGAATCTGTGCATGTGTGTTCTCTTTATATGTCTGTAACCTGGACCTGATCAGTCCAGAAGGAACATTCTTTGTTCGCCCTTCATGATGAAGTAACATGCCCAAATCAGATTAACTGTAACTTTGTGATGTTATCGTGGTCAGTGGAAATTAATGAGAGACAAAAAGGCTTTTCTTCTTGCTTAAAACTTGAGCAAAACAGATCAGCACAGACCAAAATGTAATTTTATCCATGGAAAAGAACGTGGGGACTGTTCTATGCCTCGGAAAGTTCTTTCTCCTCCCAAGATGTGTAAATATTTTGTGTAAACCAAGCTAAATTCCTGTCTTGATAGTACTCGGGTTCCATTTTATTTCTGTACCATATTATGGGACATTAAGTGGATTTATATCTTATTCCCCAGACAAAAGCCCCCTGGAGCAAATCACAGATCCAGTAAAACTTAGATTTCTCCTACATTTGCAATCTAAAAAGACAACATATCAGAGATAAAAGACGCAAATACCAATAGAAGGTCCTCGCAGTGAAACTAACATTGATGGCCAGAGACAATTTTTTTTCTGGCCAACTGAAATGGAAGCAGTTCAAACAGAGGAAGAACTCCAAATTTTGGGTCCGTCAGCTGCACAGAGGTGTAAACCTGCTTCTTCTTCAGTTATCCTCCTTCTGAAAGCCACTGAACCGGGCTCCTCTGAAGGTTTGAAGGCAGCCTTGTATTCTTTCTCTGTTGCTGTGCAGTTCGATAGACTAGATTAGGGTTCAGCTCCAGCAAACTAGTGAAGTGGGCTTCTGGGTATATGAAGAGTTCATTGTTATATGAAAGTCTTAATTCCCCATGTGGGTTTGTAGTCCAGAGGGCACTTTTAGCCATGCCCTTGGCTAGTCACCTGTGGAGCTGCCAAATACGTTACTAGCATTAGTCAGTCAGGATTGTACAGTGCCCAGATTTATCTGCAGGATTCAGTTGGACTTCAGCTTGTTGAATACAGTTTGAACTTCAGCTGGCCTGAATGCCTGCCAAACTTTACATTCGGTCTTGGGAATGGAACAGCTTATTCCTCCAGCTTTGGCAGTCGTCCTCTTTTTAGATGTGTGTATATAGCAAGCATGATTATGTTTAGTCTGCCAGTTGAATTTAATATAGTTTCTTCTCCAGAATCCTCCATTTATTTATTTATTTTGCTCTCATCTCGATGTAACGTGGTATTACTGCTGCTTTTGACTCAGATAATTGAACGTTTTAGGAATTGTGTAAAGCATTTAGCAGCTTGAGGATAAATTTGCCATGCAGTGTGTGACCTCCCTGACTTGGACTCACAACTGGGTCGGTCGTTGATTGCCTACCCAGCAGGTTTCCGTTACATAAGTAATAACCTGTGCACGATGTCACAGGTTTCTGCCTTGTGCATAGAAACAGGACACATTTTCCAATTGGCCATTTGGAGCTTTTGTATATTTCCTGGTCAAAAAAAAACCTTGTCCAGTTGACTGGACAGATGGTAGCCAGAGAATTAGAAAGGTAACTTAGTCTGTGCCTGCTTGAACTGAGAATTATGCTGATGGGGAGCCACCATCTTCCTTAGAACTCCTTAGAACAGGGGTCTCCAACCTTGGCAACTTTAAGCCTGGCTGGCTGGGGCATTCTGGGAGTTGAAGTCCACCAGGCTTAAAGTTGCCAAGGTTGGAGACCCCTGCCTTAGAACGTCTTCCAGCACATTTGACATGGAATCAGCCAACATGTACAAATACCATGGTTTTCTTGCACCAAGGAATCCATCATCCTGGGAGAGTCCCATTGTGAATCTATCTGGGCAGTTGTTGCCCCTGTAAACATCCTTGACTGGAAGCTGTGCAGGCTCAAAGAGGCTTTCAGTCGGATGTTTACAGCGGCAGGCTGCCACAATCCTCCTGAAACAGAATGGGTTCGAATTGAAAAGTTGCCCTTGGCTGACAACCTGGCTAGAAAAGTTTCCAGGCTTGGAATCTAATCAGCCACTGCTTTCTGCTAAACCAGACTTAGAATACAGAAGAATATCGGGCGGTTAAAACCTCTGCAAATGTTCTTTTAACTATAATGGTGATAGCATTTAGCGTTCTTGTAATCTACCTCCAGAGACCTCGAGATAATGTATGTGGTCCCTTTCGTAAAACATGCTTTCTTATGGCAGTGGTGATATGTTTGGAAGACCTCCAGAGAGGAGTTCGCCTGATAGCAAGGACGTCTGACTCACAAGAACAACAAATAAAAAACACGCTTCTTCCTCCTATATTAGGTCGCTGAAGTACAAAAATGCCTGGGAAAATTGGGGAACTAGGAGTGGGGTTGTAGTTGTGGGAGGATTGGGGGTGGGGTGGGGGAGGAAGGAACCTGTGAGCTTTACTGTTGTACTGAAAACAAATTCTTGAACTTCTAAATGTACTCGGAAAAGACCCAGTTCTGGAATCCTAATCATGTCTGGCTCTTCAGCCACTGCTTTATATTCCGAGTCTTGATGTTTGTACAGAAAACCAGGCAGATCTTTTAAGCCTGAAGTTTGCGGCCTGTCCTTTATCTAAGACAGGGATGTCAAACGTGCATCGTCACGGTGTCGTCACATGATATATCGTGACATTTCCCCCCCCCCCTTTGCTAAACTGGGCTTGGCGAGCACGTGACTCATCTGGCCTGCGGGCCGCGAGTTTGACATCCCTGATCTAAGACATTCCATGGAGAAGCTTCGCCCCCTGTGTTGAGGAAGTTGACTTTTCAGGATTGCAGAGAGAACAGCTTAGAACAACCAGCGAAATACAGTCCCATGTCTGTACATCAGCGTCCACTTGTGACATTCAGTGACTACAGAGAAGCCTTGTCCAAATGTTATTCCTGCTGGTATAGCAAGTACAAGCCTGGAATTTTTGTAGGGAGGATGTAAAAAGGACACTGAAGCTAGTATAGTGTTCGCTCTCCATGGTTTTAAATCTCCCCTTAATCTCTCCTTAAGAACAAGGCAGACCTTTCCAGCTGGAGGATCAGAAGAGAAGGGATGTGTGGCTTTGCAGAAATACCTACATAACAAATACATTTGCAGTGTCCCTCAAGAGGCCTCACTTTGGAAGTGGAGAACCTGCAATCTTCCAGATGTTATTCAGCTGCTGTTCTCAGCCTCCCCAGCTTGGATGGCAGGGGAAGGAGGTCATGGAAGGTTCCCACTCTTGCTATATGGTGTTTTTTATTTTATACTGTTCCTCTCACAAAAAAAAAATCGGGAGACGTACTGATGTTCCAAAGCACCCTGTTAATGAAAAGGGCTGACTGCAAGCCCTCGTTTCTGAACATTGACCACAGTATACAGGTAGTCCTCGACTTACAACAATTCACTTAGTGGCCATTCAAAGTTACAATGGCACTGAAAAAAAGTTACTTACGACCATGTTTCACACTTAATGACCGTTGCAGTATCCCCATGATCACATGATTTAGATTTGGATGCTTGACAACTGATTCACATTTATGATGCTTGCAGTCTCCCGGGGTCTTCTTGCAACCTGAAAAGCAAAGTCAATTAGGAGACCAGATTCACTTAACATCCGTGTCGCTAATTTTAACAGCTGCAGTGATTCAGTTAACGAATGTGGCAATAAAAAAAAATCATAAAATGGGGCAGGACTAGCTTAACAAATTTCTCACTTAACGACAATAAATTTTGTGCTCCGTTGTGGTCGTACGTTGAGGACTACCTGTACTTCAAAAGCATTGCAAGTTTGCCAGTCATGTAGGGTTCCTAAAGAATCCAGGTGTGCCACAACAAAAGGGGGAGGGAGCAAATTTTCTTCCAACACTTGCACTGTAGGAACGTTCCCAGCAGCAGGGTGGATAGCAGCGCTCTGACGTCTGTTCCACTTTCTCTCCTTGGTAAATGCCAAGATAGGTTTGCTTTGGTTTCAGAGAAGCCTTGACGACAAATATAGAACGAGCAAGGCACTGTTTTATATCTGTCCTCCTCCTGTTGTCCCTTGAGGCCACGTGTGGGAATGACTGCAGTTTCAAGGGTTACCGGACTCCAGATTTCACGAACAGATTCAAGTAATCTCTGTGGCTTTGAATAGATGGCATTCTTGGCTTATTTTTTTTTTTAAAAGAACATGCATCATTATTGATACAACAAATATTGAGTCCTTACGGAGCAGTATTGAATAAGGTATCCGTACTGAGTAAACAAAGGGAGAAAGATAACAGACGTATAAAATGAAAAAAGGAAAGAAAAAAGGAGTAGACATCCATTAACCTTAGGTCTGCATACGGACTGACTTGAGACCTTGAATAAGAGGAACAGAAAGACACATCCTTATTCCTAAATCTTCCAGGAAGCTTTAGTGGATGTATCAGTGTTTCTTTTTCTTTGTGGACATTTATACAACTTATGAAACTACCGCAGACCACTTTAAATTGGCCCATAGCAACATTTTAAAGTTAATGTTTTCTGACTATTTTGTGTTTCGAGATAATCCTTTGTAGCCATTTGGAGAATCCAGCAATCACAATTATAGCTACATAAAGAGAGTAATGAAGTGTTTTGTATCTCTGCAATGGGTTAGATTGAAGAAACAGATTTAATGAAGCCAACTTTGAATGCTTGTGGATGTCTTGCTTTTTTTGTTTTTCTTTTTATTGCACTGAGCTCTACAAATACGTTGGCCCATTATGGCACTGCCTTATCATGTTTTTACCATGTTCCTGAGTCATACATTGCAGAACTCTGGTTGACAATCATACTGCAATCAAGTAGTTGCGTTTGGATTCCCATTTTGGCAGCCCTAGACTGCTTCTGCTGCTGCTTCTTTTCAGCCTGTCATTCCCTTAATAGGCACTCCGCTAGTCAAGTTTTAGTTTGGAAACAAAATAGAGCTGCTTAAAATTAAAATAAGGAGCTTCCACATACCAGTTGAGTCCTTATTGTACAAAAACATATCAAGTATCCACACTGGAATCTTGGGGAAGAAAAATTAAAAGTTTCTCGTGGATCTGTGAGTTTTCAAGATGTTGAGAACAATCTTGCAGTATTGCAGGAGGAAATGGGGAGATGAAATATATAAAGAACACTTGGATTGCTTGATATATTGAAGGGAACAGTCAAGATTGGGGAAATCTCTTCCTGTAGTTTTTTTTTTAAAAATAACCCTCTTCCAGTCATTATGTAAAGGATCTTCCTGCAGCTTGGTGTCCTCCAGGTGGTGTTAAGCTACATTTTTCCATATTGTGCTAAATGCAGCGATTTGTCAAGCACAATCATCCATACTTGCATGCAGTGACCTTTAAAATCTTGAGCCTTCTAGCATAGTCTCGCTTAAGAGAGTCTTGATGGTTTTCCTGGTGGATCTTTCTCATCATAGTTGCCTCTTTCAGGGTGAACAGAGCCCTAACCCCCATGTCTAAGGGTGCCCTGAAAAATGCAAGAAGCCAATTATGTTGGCTTCCCTCTTTTCCAGTTCACTGACCAAACAGGAATTTGTCCGGTGCTCATGTCTTGTAGGGACATGAATCTGGTTTTAGATAAAAGGGAAGAGGAGCGACTCTCATCAGCTTCCATTCTGTCTGGACAACGGCTTCCAACTCTTCTGAAGTCAGCCAGGGATTTTCTTTCCCAGAAAGATTTTTCTCCCACCCTGTAGGTCCAGGGTCAGCTGCTTTGACGCAGGCCAGTGACTTTGCACAAGAGGCCCTTATGTGTTATTGATGGAATTCATTCTTGGCAGCAGCATCTCTTGGCCATGCCCACTGACATCGTTGCTGGCAAATGGGCCAGACAACAGTTGTGTAGTGCTTTTGAAGCTCTGATTCATTCAAACTCAGGAGTCATCCCAAGTGCCAAATGATTTTAAAATTGTTAAAAATTGTACTTGAGTTTAGGGACATGCTAAAAAATTATGCCTGTCTTTTGGAAAAAGTTCAAGAAGCCGATTGGATTTGCTATTTAAAACCTTTGAAGATGGGACTAATTTTTCTAAGTAGATCTTAGCATCACCTTTGAACAATGAGCCACTAAGACTGAATTTAGTCAGTTGAGGCGAGCATCCTCGGTACCCCCCCCTTTTTTTTTTTTTTGCCTCAGCCATTTTGCATAGAAGGTGGTGGAAGTTAACTGGCCAGTAGCCCTTATGTGTGTTTCGCCAATTTAACCCTAGCCATGTAACAGTGTGTGTAAACATCCTACACTCTCAGCTGTGACTTTGTGGTGGCTGGGAGAAGGTTGTTTACGCCTCCTGGCATGGACTGGTCCTCTCGGAAATTGTAACTCCTCATTATGATCTGTGGGACTCAGAATGTGTCTGCCCCATGGCTCCAAGCTTATCCTCTCACAACTCTGTTTCCCAGCTCATCGTTTGGAGGGAAGCAGAGACCCAGGAAAGGTAGGTGGGGAGAGGTCTTGATGGGAGAGTTTGGGTAGCCACATGCCTGGCATTCACTTAAGATATAAAGTGCTCCAGTTGTGCTGCAGTAGTCAATGTACTAAGGTCTTATTCTTACCTGTTTCTGTGCTATGAGTACATTTCATTGTTTGCTTTCATAATCTGCCCCAAGAACCCCAAATACAGGGACTCCATTGCAAAGCAAGGCAGTTGTTAAGTGAATCACAGCTGATCTTGCAGCCTTTTTTTTTGTCACGGCTGTTAAGTGAATCACTGCAGTTGTTAAATGAATCACATAGTCATTAAGCAAATCAACTTCCTCCATTGACTTTGCTTATGAGGAACTGGCTGGGAAGGCCACAAATGGTGATCGCATGTCCCTGAGATGCTACAACCATCATAAATAAATGCCGGTTGCCAAGGGCCCGAATTTTGATCATGTGATTGTGGGGAATAGTTGTAAATGCAAGGACTATCCAGAAGTCACCTTTTTTCCCCAGTAACGTTATAATTTGGAACAGTCACTAAATGAATGGTTGTAAATAGAGTACTACCTGTAGTTTCAAATCTCACTTAAGTAAGCAAATGGCATTCTTCATCAGCTTGTTGGCCTCACTGCTAATAATACCTCTTTCCTTTCATTGGCCTGGAAAGCTTTTCCCCCAAAAGCAGAAGGCCTGTTCATTCTTGGATGCTGCTTGTCTTTCAAGGAAGAAATTGAAATTCAGCCATCAGACCCGAAGATTCTCTCAAGATGGGAGAAAGTAAAACAGGCAGAACAGAGCGGAACAGGTTGATGGGCAGTGTCCAGAGAAGAGCACTAGTCATACTAATTTTTTCCATACCTGTTTCCATTTCTGCTGGAATCCATGTTCCAGGCTTAGTTTACCGTGTCTGACCACCTTCTTCTCCATTGGCGTAGGAGGAGGTCCGCCAGGCTGTGACTCCAGCAGAACCCGTCCAGTACTACTTCACTCTGGCCCAGCAGCCAGCAGCTGTCCAAGTCCAGGGCCAACAGACGGGCCAGCAGACAACCACATCCACCACCACAATCCAGCCTGGGCAGATCATCATCGCCCAGCCTCAGCAAGGACAGGTTGGTATGCAGGCCTTTTCATGGCTCTTGCACGCTGGATTTGGAGAGCAGGTGGAAAGTGGCATCGGGCGCCCTCTGATTTGCAAAGGAGACCTGTGCTGAGATCAAGGCAGCATGTTAAAAGTTAACAAAATGCAATATGCTACATTGGGGGGTATCTTGCGGCATTCAAACAAACAAAAAATTCCCCAAGGCATTATTTATTTATTTATTTATTTATTTATTTTATTACATGTATTTATATGCCGCCATTCTCCCGAAGGACGCAGGGCGGCGAACACAAGTTAAGAAACAAGTACAATAAAACCATAATTTAATCCAAATAATTAATTAGTAGTAAATAATAAAGCCCGGAATCAGTCTCAGCCTATTTGTTTGAAAAGCCAAGTCTTCAAGTCCAGACGGAAGGAGCGCAGATCAGGAGCTGTCCGGAGCTCAGTAGGTAATTCATTCCAGAGGGTGGGAGCACCCACAGAGAACGCCCTACCCTACCCCTATTATGGCTTAATATATAGACCAGGTTCTTCCAGTATGCTGTGGTTGCATTCCTACAATGTGCTGAATTGCAAAATACCCAGCCTTGTTTTAGGCTAGCCCTTAGTGTATTATAAGGTACCAATCTCATGATGTTGGCAAAACTGCAAGTCTTAAAGACTCAACTGCTTAGACTTGCAGATGGAAGAACTACCCAATGCGGGTGGGGATGGAATGGAAGTATGATCAGGATTCTCACTGCCTTCCTCAGTGAGAAGCAAAGAAAGAAGACGGCATTTGCTGCAGACCCTCTTCTCCCTCCCCGGTCATATGGGCTGGGACTACATGGAATTAGAGTTGCAGCAACATCTGTCTGGCCACATGTTGTCCATGTCTCCTGTAGTTTAGTTATTGGAGCAGATCCATAGGCTGTACCTATAGTATACCAGTGAGGAGAAACCAGTACTCTCTTCATTATTGCTGACAGTCATTTTGGAACGGGCAATCCTGGCTGCTCCTGTTTTACAGGATCAGACTGGAGCTTCCTTTTCATTTCATTCAAGCCCATCTTTGGCTGTGGAAGCTCCGTAGATGATGTTTGGCCACTATTATTGCTTGCCAAGGTTGTTCTCAGGGGGAAAAATTGGAGCAGTGTCCTGGATGCCACCTTGAAACACTGAAGGAAGGACAGGATATAATTTGAATTTTAAAAGAATGAAATATGGACAATCTTTTGCTTTCGAAGTATTAGCATCTGATTTTTATAAATGTCCTTTCTGCTATCTTGGGTCTTTTCTGTCTCAGAGATTGTGACACTGAACAGAGGGAGCATTTCCACTTGCTTGCTGTCCTGAGATTGGTTGTCTGGTCCTGGTCATGTTGCAGGACACAAGTGTAGCTGATCAATGTATCTGAGATGTCCTCCATCTTCTCTTGTGCGCTTCTCTTCTTTCAGACCACACCTGTGACCATGCAGGTGGGAGAAGGGCAACAGGTGCAGATCGTTCAGGCCCAGCCACAGGGGCAAACCCAGCCGGCGCAAAGTGGGACCGGGCCAACTATGCAGGTCATGCAGCAAATCATCACCAACACGGGCGAAATCCAGCAGATACCGGTCAGAGTCAAAATTGATCTAAAAGTTACAGAAGCCCTGGGCTTGATTTGAGAAGGGAGTTGTGGATAACTGCAGGGGTGTCCCAAGGGAACGGCAAAAATATGGTGGCTATGTTGGTATCCTCTCCTGCAGAAACCTCTGGATGACCAACATTAGTCCTTTTTTGCTGGCTGGATGGGGTTCAGGTTCCACGGCATGTGTGGGATCTGCATCTTGACTGCCACGTTCTAAAGCAGGAGTGTCTAGCCTTGACAACTTCAAGACTTGTGGACTTCAGTTCCCAGAATTCCCCAGCTACCTATTCTGAAGAGTTGAAGGCTACAGGTCTTAAAGTTGCCAAGGTTGGACACCTCCTTTCTAGAGAGAAAAGCCCATTCTAAAAAACAGCTCGCTTAAACCTTTGCTGAAGCCACTTCTCCCCTCCACATTTGTCAGTTCGGCTTCTTGACTTTCTTTCTCCCCTTCCTTCCTTCTCATCTTGTGAAACAGTTTTACATTATATTCTAGGTTAACATTTAAAAGTCACACAATCATTAGGGCCGCACAGATATTTGCAAAACATTCCATGCTTATTTTCATAATCAGGCCGGTTTTGAAGGTCTCTCTCCAAACTGCCCCTGCCAGCTTTTCCACTCTTTATTTTTAACAAGTGGTTTCCCAGACAGAAGCTCCATGGTGGTGTGCACCAGAGCAGTAAGTCGAAGCCCTTAATGTCTGCGTTGTCCATTTTAAGTTAGTTATTCTAGTTAAAATCTAACCAGGGCCTCTGCTTGCAAACAGCTTTTCTCCCTGCAGGCATATTTCAGTGCCTTCAGAAAGACAGCTGTAAAGAAGCTTTTCTTGCAGAAAGTATGCATTTGTAACAGGGGGTGCTGCCCTTTGCCTTTAGGGACTGGTTATTTGGGGGGAAAAAAATCCCAGATGTTAGAGAAGTCAGTGGAGGGACAAGGTCCAAGGGCTGTAATTTCTGTTCGAGGAGATTTGGAGCATCAATGACAGATTGTCTAAAGATCTCCTTCACCTGTTCCTTGATTAAAAGATGCTGTCCTGAGCACAATATAATTGTGTTTTGTACAAATACAGCAGGGCGGGCAGGAGGTTAACTATTTCTAAATGTAGTTAGGTGGTTCTAAAACACAGCTGAGCGAGCATTTTTTTTTTGATGCTGCACTTTTTAAAATACAAAAGGAAGAACCTGAGAAATCCAGCAGTGACGCCATGACATCACCAGAGGGGGTAGATTGAGATTCCTGGCATCAAAATCATTGCCTTAAGCATACGCCAGATTTAATGCGTCCATCTTCACTTTTTAAAATGCCATTGTTTCATATTTTTTTTAAATGTCATTATGCTGCTGAAAATCAATGATTAGACACCATATTTTGGTGGCACAATTCTGGGGAAGTGTCACAATGGGGCAGGGTTTGCATTAATCAGAAAATTAGGAATCAAGTTGGGTTCTTTCAGGTTTGAAGAAGTATGCATATCTGCACCATAGGTGGTTCGTCTTTCAAGTTTCCACTTAATTTCATCTCAAAAGTCTTTACATGGTTGAACTTGTGATTTATGGTTTTGATGAACCGAAAAAATATACAGAAGACTATAGAAATAAAAACAAAAGTTGTGATCGTAGAGCAGAAGATGAATTTAAATTTTGGCTTATAGCTGCTCTAAAAGAGAATAGGAAGTTACGATAGCAGGGAGAAGCAATTTTTCTACCCCAAGCACATGTGTTTTTTGGTTTCATCTTTTGGTCTTATTATGTCATCTTCCTGTATAATCTCTCCAAGCATCTCTGGGAAACGAGAGGCTAGCTCTGTTTTCAGGTGACCAATTCTGTGTCCTCTTTTCTCCCTCCTGCTGTTTCTAGGTCCAACTTAATGCCGGCCAGCTGCAGTATATCCGCTTAGCCCAGCCTGTGTCTGGAACTCAGGTGGTCCAGGGCCAGATCCAGACGCTTGCAGCCAACACGCAGCAGGTATTGGCTGACCTCCGGGGTTTCTTGAGAAGAGCTGTTAAAATACCCCTGACCCTTTGAGAAAGAAATTGATTTCTCCAGATACGACCACTGAAACCAGGGGTCGTGGGAGGAGTTCTGATCTTGAATTTCTGCTGACTACTGCCCCCTCGCCCCGCTTTTTAAAAAGGAAACCTCAACCATTTGGAGAAGTTGTATTAACCCTGCTCCTTTGCATATGGAATAGGACAAAATGTATGGCTCAGAGCTATTGTCATAAATCTGCCAAGACACAAGGTGTGTTTTTTTTTATGTTTGCTTAGCTGTGAAAAATATAAATCATGCTTTGTTTGGTAAACACCCCGTTTCAGGGGCATCTATTGTGGGGTGTCAAAGAAGGTGGATGCAGCTACATCTTGACTTTTTTTGACACCCTTCCTCCGCTTGGACATCACTGTTCTCAATAAACGCCTCGTGTAGGTTAAAAATGAAATAATACTGTAGTATGCTAAAAGGCCTGGTGTTTGGAGGCTGGAATCCAAAAATCTCTTTCCTACTTCAAAACTTTATCCAGCTTTCAGCAAATTTAGTGAAGCTCTGTTCTTTTTTCCCTCTTCCCAGACCTTTGTTAATCGGTCAGCTTTTCTGTTTGAGCCACCTGCCAGCCTTCATGTTGCCATTCTTTGTGTTCAGGCGCCGTATCTAATTTCCCCAGCTTTGCAAAACCTTTTTTAGTCACTGCTAAATGCATTCATTAAAAGCAGTACTTTTGTTTAGGTCCTGGCTAAGAGTAGCCTTCACCTCTTTCAGATCTGGATACTTCATTGTCTGCAACCTGGGATCTGCCTTGATTAGTATCAAATCGGATTGCTTTTCTCTGTCTGTCTTCCCTTTCCTCTTTGCCTTTCCTAACACATACCTACAATCTCTTTTCTCAATAGGGTGTGCCTTCAATTATCTCTGTGTCCCGGATGCCCAGTTTCTACAGTCATAGAATTTCAGACCTTGCTTATTGAAGGCCATTTATTTGGAAAATTTCACAGCTATATCTGCAAATAGGCCTTTTGCTCAACAGACTGTCTAAACAGCCCAATTGCACCAGCAAAAGGAACACTAGTGGTCACACACACACACACACACACACACACACACACACACACACACTTTTAACTATTGGGGAATACAAGGGACGCGGCGGCTCAGTGGCTGAGATGCTGAGCTTGTCGATCGAATGGTCGGCAGTTCAGCGGTTTGAATCCCTAGTGCCGCGTAACGGGGTGAGCTCCCGTGACTTTTCCCAGCTTCTGCCAGCCTAGCAGTTCGAAAACAGGTAAAAAATGCAAGTAGAAAAATAGGGACCACCTTTGGTGGGAAGGTAACAGTGTTCCGTGCGCCTTTGGTGTTGAGTCCTGCCGGCCACATGACCACAGAGACGTCTTCGGACAGCACTGGCTCTTTGGCTTTGAAACGGAAATGAGCACCGCCCCTAGACTCAGGAACGATTAGCACGTATGTGCGAGGGGAACCTTTACCTTTACCTTATGTGGAGAATATTACTTTTGACAGAGTCTTGAACCTCCTTTGAAGGAATATTTATTTCCATTGGTAGGCAAATTTGTTTGGGAAATAAATAATGAAAACCACAAATTGCAAGGGGTTCACAGGAAAAAGAGCAGGTCAAGAGGTTCAAGGGGTCTCTTACGTTTTGCAGTTCCTCTTTTGCATTTATTTTAAACACTGATTCCTTCTTGATCAGAGAGTTGCAAATGTCATCCATGCATGTCTTTTCCAGATTGCGCAGACAGACGTTCAACAGGGGCAGCAGCAGTTCAGCCAGTTTACCGATGGACAGGTATATGCCTTTGCATCTGGGGCTGCTGGGCAAAGGGGTGGTTGCTGGAGCAGCTTGGCATGGTCAGTTCCTCCTGAAGGAAGCCAGTTTCTTGGGAGGGTTGTTGACCCAACAGGAAGAAGCCAGAGACATTGTTCTGTGGATTATATGATATTTACCCTATTAATTTGTTCTGCTCATTGAGAGCTACCTTGGAGTAGAGATCGCTAAACTGACCGATTAAAGAAAAAAAAAAACACAATTACTTTTGTTTCTTCTTGGAAAATGCTTTTAGACTCCGTGCTTGAGGTGGAAAAAAAAATTAAACTTTGATTTTGGGTTTTACTGATTAGATAGGTTTGTTGTGATAGAAATGGCTGGTTTATGTAAAAGTAAAAAGTTGAGGTTTGATATCATTATCTTATTCTACTGCACCAAAGGGAAAAGGGAAGGGAAAATTGTAGGGAAAAAGGGGAAAAGAAAGAGAAGGAGTTGACTTCCAATGCCTTTTCTTTCTTTTCCCCTTTTTCCTAAAAATTTTTCCTTCCCCTTTCCACTCTTATCTTTCCTACTATTTTCTTTTGTATTTTTGTATTTTATATTATAAATTAATTTTAAAAAAGGAGAGAACTAGCTTGGAGTTTCATGCTTCGGATGCTCCCCGGCAGTTCAGGGGACCTCTGATTAAAGTTGTGAGTTTTTCCCAGTTGAGGACTGTTACAGAAGAAGGCGTTTGTAGATATCCTTAGCAGTGTATTAATGAATTGAACTGCTGTCTCTCTAAGAGGGTACAGTGCACGCCATGCCTTGAAAGGAGCCACCAGAAACAGTTTCACAAGCTTCTCTTTGCTTCTTCCCTCCCAGCAACTCTACCAGATCCAACAAGTGACTATGCCTGCCGGTCAAGATATCACCCAACCTATGTTCATCCAGTCCACCAATCAGACGACAGATGGACAGGCGCCACAGGTCACGGGAGACTGATCAGCTCCAGCCGGAAGCTTTCCTGATGTGGTGGAATTCATAGCGACTTGATTGATGTTCCCACTGATCAAGTCGAGAAACAGCCTTTTAACTAGTCCATTCCCTCCCCACCATGTTGTCTTCATTGATAGAAAGATGTCAAAGGTTGTGATCAGCGTTACATCAACTGCTTACGTTGGCTGGGAGGAGAGGATGCCACAGGAACTGACTACAATGCAATATATGTATTTCTTTTTATATATATATATATATATATATAAATTTTGAATTCTGTGTTCCTCAGTAGTTCCACTTTGACCATTTTATAGAGGGCTCTGCAGGCAGTGCAAGGCCTTCTCATTTCTTCGTGGTCTGGGATCTTTTCTTTGTCCTTTCTGTTCTCCCGTCCATTACATTTGAAATCAAAAAAATCTTTATCCTGTTTCATCCCTGATTGCACATATCGCATTATCATTAAATCTGAAAGTGTGTTAGTGTGCACATGTGTATATACTGTGTGTGTGTGTAAGAGAGAATGGGCAGAGGGATTCCTCTTTTTTTTTTTTTTTAATCCAGGTGCTGCTAACTGCAGTTCCCAAGTTTGAAAATTAACAGGGAAAACCCAGCTTTTCCTTTATGAACCTATTTTCTAAAGGCATTAAATTTGGCCTCAAACTATTTTGGAATGACTTAAGGGGATTTGGACACGCAAATACAATGTATTGGGTAATGGTATAAAATTCAGTCGATGCATGTTTTTTAAAAAATGCATGAAATGCAATAAACCTTTTTTTTCCTATAATATTCTATACTCTGTGTCCTTCTCACCTCAGCTCATCAACTGATCCTGATCCAGAACAGATTCTACTTTGCCAGGTTTAGACTTGCCAAAATGTTTCAGAACCTGCCCAAATCCTATGGAATGATATATTTTAGGTTGTGTTCTGACCTAGGCTTCCTGAGTCATTAAAACACACGAGTAGTCCCAAGAACCTTTTATTGCAACAGCTGTGAATTCTGTTCATTCACAGATGAGTCCCAATTTGTTGTAAAGAGTCCTTCAGGATAATCATCCACCTTGACACGCTGCCAAAGATCTAATTGGCAAAGCCACCCGGAGTCCAGAATCAACAGAGCTTCAGGCTTTAAGCTGAACCAAATGAACAATCGTTGCTTCCTGCTCCTCTTTTAAGTCTTATGGGAGGGGCCAATCATCTCCAAACCCTACTCCCAAGTCCCTTTTGTTTTAGCTGTTCTTGCCTGCTGGCAGCTCTGCACATGCGCGCACTGGGAACCGGCTCCCCCTGTTCCTCAGCCTCGCTGATGTCCGACTCTGGAGGCTCCGGAGGCAGCACGTACCTCCCAGATGGCCCTTTCTCTGCCTCCAACACAGAGCCCTCGTCTGAGCCTTCCCCAGGCTCCAGGACTGGCCCATGTTCCTCCTCAGCCTCCTCACTGTCCGACTGTGCTGCCAGCTCCGCAGGCCATTGGCGGACCACAACAGGTTGGTCCTAAGGAAGCTTAGATCAATCCAATGGCCAATGGGTAACCTCCAATATCATTTTTATTTCCCATTCCTTTGTTACCTAACTTTGGGCCACCACCGCTGATACTTTGCTTGCATTACAAGTTCCCTACTAGGAAAGAACAATAGAAATCGTTTTTGGGGGGTGCATAAAAAGGGGGAATCCTTCAGAATAACTCAATGCCTTTTAAGGACTAATGATGGCAACTGTCTGGTTTTTCACTTCATCTCCAGCCATTTAATTAAAGTTATTTTTTTAAAAAATAAATTGGGTGTGTGTGTGTCTTGGCAGAGGATGTTATGAACCCAGAGATGCAGTGGTGCCATTGAATGCACATCTCCTTATTTTAGTAGAGGTTGGACAGTTGTAGCTTTAAATGCGGTTGGGTACTTTTTACTGTGGCCTTCACTTGAGGGGACCCTAAGAGAGGAAGAAAGGGAGAGGAATTTCCTACACTGACATGGGTTTTTTTGCAGGCATTCGGTATGTCTTGAGGGAGCTACTTCAACAGTATCGGGAAATGTGTTTGGTAGTCAGTTGCTGCACTTGAATAATCTTGAAAGCTACCCAAAGGATCAGTAGATACGGCCTGCTGTTTGCGCTTTCTGTACCCCAACAAATCAAGAGGGGCAAAACAAGGAGGCACTTTGTGATTAGCTTCAGGCATCGCATCGTGATTTTGGTTCAGGTTTAGCATGTGGACTCGGCTAACTGTCCCTTGTAAATAAATTGTGGTTAAGCTCAATGTGTGATTCTCATCGTAAACCCAAGAGAATTAGCTCCAAACCAACGAGCACTTAATTGGATTCTTTTTTTGGATTGGGTAGATCTGCTTTAGCATTTCCCCGTAAAAGTTTTAACATCCTCTTTGTCTGCCAGAAGCCTTTGCTGTACCTAATCAAAACAATTATGTTTTCAAAATAATCTCAGCACAATTCTCCTGGGTGAATCAACCGACAGGTCTCCAGTTGTGTTTTGCTACGGGATGGGGCCAGAGGAGTAAATTCTTTCAGAAATAATCTTGTGAGTACCACCAGAGGGCAGTAGGTTCTCTATTCTGGATCTGTTTTTTTTTTTTTTGTTTGTTTGTTTCTTAGTAAAGTCTAAAGTTGTGTTAATCTGCATCTGGTTTGTATAACAGTCAAACTTTTGTCAGACCACTACACAAGTTAGCAGCGGTGGATGAGCAGCTCTTTCAATAACCATGTTTTTTGCTTGCTGATCACAGGAAATTGGATTTTAAAAATTTTGCTGTTGTTATTATTATTATTATTATTTTACCAGTACTTGAAATGCAAGGGTTAGCAAAAAGTCTCTCTGGATGGCCTTTCCCATAGGTTCAAAAGACATGTGTAGGAGGGTCCAGAGTGGTTCTCTGGTAGTTGTAAACCCCCCCCCAACTCTGTTGTAGTTAATGAGACAAGTCCATAAGTAGAAATTGATGGGCTTGAAAGGAACTTCTAAGTAAGAAAAACTAGGTTGGCTAATTCTGAAAGTTGGAGCTGGCCCGTTATTAATATTCCTAGCTGTGCTGGAGAGAATTATTAAGAATAATTAAAAGAATGGAATGGAATGGAATGGAATAGGGCAGTGATGGCTAACCTTTTTGCCATTGCGTGCCAGGAGTAGAGGGGGGTTGCGCGCATGCACACACCCATAATTCTATGCGCCCTGCCCCCACGCATGCACATGTGACCCCACACACACTTCCCCGCTCCTGGCACACTATGGCACTGTTTTTTGCTCTCCCCAGCCTCCAGAGCCTTTCTAGGAGTCTGGGGAGGGCGAAAACGGCCTTCCCTACCACCCCCCGAGGCCCTCCGGAGTCAGGAAACAGGAGGGCCCAGAAGGCCTGAAAAATCAGATGTGCGCGCTGGAGCTGAGCTCGCGTGCCCACCAGGTGGCACGTGTGCCCTAGGTTCGCCATCACAGGAATAGGGAATAGGAATAGGAGTAATAGAAATACTCCAAGATCCCTTCCAACTCTGTAAATTCATAGAGGTAGCCTGAAGCCAGCAAAATGCAGAGAAATAATTCATGTGGCAGGGAAAGGGCACAACCACCAGGTTTAACCAATCCCACTTCACAGTGCTTTTATAGCCCTCTCTAAGCGGTTTACAGAGTCAGCCTCTTGCCCCCAAACAATCTGGGTCCTCATTTTACTGACCTCGGAAAGATGGAAGGCTGAGTCAACCTTGAGTCTGGTGAGATTCGAACTGCCAAATTGCAGTCAGCCAACAGTACTGCACTCCAGCCACTGCGCCACCACACCAAATCCTGAATTTGAGTTGAAAGTTAACTGATGCAGAGTAAATGGTCACAATTATCATGAGAATATGGACTTCAGTCCTGGGTTTTGTACCTTGGCTCAACTGTAAACGTAGCTTAAAAACCAGTGGTTAAATTCACATACTGTAATTATGGTGAAGCAAGAGCAAACCATCCACATCATACATTAATGCAACATTCGAACTTGTCTCCTGTGTTCTTTTCATTAATGAATGTAGACTAAATTATCAAGATTGCCTGAAGATTGGTTGCAGAATAAAAGCAATGTAGAAAGCAAGAAAGGAACACAGCAATATGGACATTTGTGGGTTTTGGATCAAGAAGCATAAACCTGACTTCTGTAGTGAAAATGGTAACACAGCAGCTCTGGTCATTTGAACTCTGGCTAAATTGACTTTTTCTCTGGAGTGTTATCAACTAAAACCACACTGAAATTTTTTTAAAAAAATTGAATTCAGACCCAGGGATAATAGCAAATCCCTCAATGCCTCACTCAACCGCCGGGTGTTGGAGAGAGATTGTTCCAGTCAGGAGGAGGGATCAAGCAGGAAATCAGTCTGGAATCCTTATGGAGACACAAGAGAGCAAGGCTCAGTTCCCTTTGAATGCCATTGAACCTTATTTAGTCTTTCCCAGGGGCAAACTGCTGATTTGAGAAGATTGCTGTGAAATACGCATTGAGCAATAAAGTAGCTAGCTTATACTCTACACTTAAGGGTCTGGTTGCTTGTGCTGACATTAGATCAGTTAAAAATCAAGAAGAGGCAGGGGCAAAACAATTGTTTGGTTGAACTGGGAATATCAGAATAGCCCTTTAGTTTTTAGCCAATCCTTGTCTCTCACGGTGGCCCACCAGATGTGCCAAGAAGTCCACAAAGGAGAGAACAAGGAATTAATAAGAACAACTAAAATGCTGGGTGAATGTAAGTCACTAAATAATAATTGTATTCAATAAATCTGTAACTGATTTTGGAACCCTCACATTTCTTCAAGAAGTCTGTATTATGCATCAGTACAATGGGTGAATACAGCCACTGCCTACATGGTAGCAAAAGAAGATATTTTGCAAAAAAGTAGCGTCATCTATGCCATTAGAGTCTCTTCTGAATGAATGAATAAGAATTGCTAAGAATAAGAACGCAACACGAAAAGCCTAATAATATCGACTGCATACCAGCAGCAAAAGCAGGGGTGAAATGCTCCCGGTTCGGACCGGATCACCCAATCCGGTAGCAATGGTGGGTGGTTCGGAGAACTGGTAGCAAAAATCCCTCCCCCCCCCACATGCCCAGCTGAGCCATGCGATCATCCGCGATCGGCCAAAGAGGTTGTAGAAAAAATGCTTTTAAAAGTAAAAAAAAAAAAAAAGTTGGCCATGCCCACCCAGTCACATTACCCCCACCACCAAGCCACGCCCACAGAACCAGTAGTAACAAATTTTACATTTCACCACCGAGCCAAAGTCTCTTTCCTGACCAAGCCAGCAAAATTACAATGATAGGATTCCCCCCCCGCCCCAGGCAGTCTTCAAATGACTACCATTCTTTTAACAACAGCAAGTTACTACCTGTCCTCCAGTTATGACCATCACACCACCTCTCTAGTCACCTGATCACAATTTGGGCACATGGCAACCATTTTGCATTGACAACAGTTGCAGTGTTTTGTGGCCACGTGTTCGCAACCTTTCCATCTGGCTTCCAACATGAAAAGTTGGAAGATTCACTTAATGACCATGTGATTCATTTAATAACCACAGTAAAATTGACCTAAAATCAGGTCCAATCATGTGATGATTCGTTTAATCACCACATCACTTAGCAACCAAAATTCCAGCTGGAATTGTGGTCATCAGCTGAGGACTACCTGTATTATTAAGAAAATAACAGTCTGATTTTAAGGAAGATTTCAGTGAAAGCATAGAGCCTGGGCTTGATTCCTTCCCCTCTCCCACTGAATTCACCTGCTGGCCTTTCAAAGCCCACCTGA